GGGCGCTGTTCAGGGAAAGAGAAGGTGAAATCCTCAGGGACCAAAGTCAATGCCATGGGAATGCAGCACAGCTTCCTCCCCCACAATACACGCCTGCCCCAGCTGCAGGGGAGCCAGCAGTCCCTTGCTCCCTGTGGTGCTCCAAAGGTACTTTGCGGTGGTCCCTCTAAGACAGGACTTCAGGGCTGCTTCTCTTATTCAGAGCTACTGCTGTAACATTCAGATTTTTTGAAAGATTTTGCAATGGCTTCACATGACATAGATGGGTTTCATCAACAGACTGAGAAAGAGAGAGAGAGTGAGAGAGAGGACAGGTATTTGCCCTCCAGGGAATCTCGTTCCCTATGTATTAAGAGCATCGCAGCCGGACACCTCTTGGATGTAACAGGCTTCTGCCCAAGTCTCAGCCCCACCAAAAGGGATCAAATACAATGCAATAACCTGTCACCCACCTCCTGAGTCCAGGAGACACTTCGCAGCAGGTCCTGGAGCTTCTCTGGTCGCAGAGTTCAAATGAAACCAACAAGTGCCAGGACAGGCAATTCTTTGCAGATTTTATTCAAAGGCACACATCGTCTGCTCAGCCAGTGTCTGTCTATCCTCACATTTTTAAGGTCAGTGAGTTTTAACCAGCAGCTTGGCCCAGCTGTGCATGTGGGTGACTGAATCTGTGCGAGAGCAAAGGGAATGATCATACCAGGTCAGCAATAACAAGTGGGAAATATAATTCCTATTTATAGGAACGCCCGGGGCAAAGCTCTACCCAGGAGCACTTTTTCAATATTTTCTCCAGTGCTTGATGGTGAAAGCTTGCAATTGAAGACATTTTTCTTTTGTGCAAAAATCATTTTGGTCTAATAAAAGATATCTCTACTTTGAGCCCTGATTGCTGCAGGTGTGGAGATACTCTTTGGTTCACTGCCCCAGCCAGAAACTTCAACCAAGCAAAGCTTACTGAAAATGGTGTTTGCTAACTGGCTTCTCCTGCTACTCATTCTCCCACGGTGTATGATGAGCTCTAGCTGCCATGTTTCAAGACACCGACTTTTTTACATGGCAGGGAGGCACATGGACAGAATCTAGCATCTTACCGGGGAAGTAGATGCACACCTCTACGTAGAGTCCAACAGACATGATGAGATCTCATATAAGAGATGCGCTTTGCCTCCAGCTTTCATGAGTTTTGCCCCAGAACGGGCGGGGGACGGACTACAGCTGGACATACAAAATTCAGGGCTAGGTTTACAATATCTTCAGCCTAAAAAACGTGATTCCCAGGGAAATGAGGTTATTGTTTCATCCACCATACTGTCTGTCATTTGTTCCACAGGAGAAGAAACCCTGCTGGGTGCCTCAGTTGCTATTGGTATTTGTCACAACCCAGTGATTTTGGTGCCTCGGCACGTTGGAATTTTCTTGCCACATGAGAGCCTCTTGCACAGCGAGGGTTTTTGTTGCAATTAAGAACCCGCGTGCAGGAGAGTTCCCGCCAATTTGCAGGGTGCATTTCTTCTTTGCAGCACAGAAATGTACGGTGCAAAGAGTTCCCGCTATTCGAATGCAAATTTGTGTCCCGCTATTGGCCAGTGCTAAATTATTCACACGTGGCGGCTAGTAATTGGCTCGCTGGCCGTTTAAAATTCCACGCGACTTCCGCCCAAGTCGAAGAACTTTGAGCACGCTGCAGAGTGCCTCTATTGCAGACGGATTAACTGGCTTGGGCCTCGCCAGCTGGAACAACTCACATAGTTGTTCAGACGACCGGACCATCTGCGTCGCAACTCCACGCGGCGTAAGTAAACGTTTTTGCAACCATTAAACCTTGTCTGCCTCTCCATTCACCAGCCCGCCCTGACGAACGAGCAATTTCTTAATCACCTCGAGTCAGCTCTGGCCGGCCGAGACAGTATTCTCCAGTAGAAGTGTGTGCACAATCCCTAAGGACTTGTCCAGGACTTCAGGCACATCCACAGGAAGAGAAAATGAAGAGTGGGAATGAAACTTCTTCAGCAGACTTCATTGTGCTGGGACTGCTATGCCAGACCAATGTACACATGTTCACCGGGGCCGTGATCTTATTAGCCTTCATCGCTGCCATGTCTGGAAATGCTCTCCTCCTATTTCTAATCCAAGTGGATTCCTCCCTTCACTTGTACTTTTTCCTCAGCCAACTGGCCTTCGGGGACATCTGTCAAACACTGATTGTTGTCCCCAAAATGGAAGCAGACTTTCTCACCCCAGGAAACCCCTTGGCTGTGGGGCTTAGATTTTCCTCTCCCTGACAATTTGTGGAGCAGAGTGCCTCTTCCAGGTAGTCATGCATTATGACAGGTATATAGCAATCTGCAACCTGTTGCAATACCCACTACTCCTGAGCAAGAGAGTCTGTTGGGTCTGACAGGTGGGGTCTGGATTGGGACATGTGTAGATGCCTTGATTCTTACAGCTTCTGTAATGCACTTGCCCTACTGCGGCTTTAAAATAATTACCCACTTATTCTGTGAGGTCCCAGCCCTGCTCAAATTGTCCTGCTCTGACACGTCCCAATATGAGACTTTGCTGTTTGTGTGTAGTATTGTAATGTTCCTTATCCCTTCTTCCACCATCCTAGCCTCTGACTCTCACATTCTTGCTGCAGTCCTCAGGATGAATTCAACCAGACAGCAGAAAGCTCTGGCCACCTGCTCCTCCCACCTGGCTGTGGTGGGCATGTTCTACGGGGCAGCCATCTTCATGTACATGAGACCCAGCTCCTACCACTCCCCAGAGCAAGACAAGATTGTTGCTGTCTTTTACACCATTGTCACCCTAGGGCTGGATCCACTCATCTACAGCCTGAGAAACAGGGATGTCTTAGGAGCCCTAAGAAAACTGGTTGGGAAATACAGAGGACGCTCCAGCCCAGTCAGGACGGGGACAGCTGGGGCCCCTCTGGCAGGGCTGGGGGACAGGAGGCTGCAGGTCAGGAGTGAAGGGCAGCAGCAGGGCTGGGGGGGCTGTGGCTTGGCATTGAGGGGCAACAGGATGGGTAGAGGAAAGGCAATGGCATGTCACTGCCCTCTCCTGTGTGACAGGACTGCAGTTCCCAGCATCCCCTGGCTGTCCGGACTTAGAGCAGTTTCCATGGGGACCCCCGACCCACCCACGGACACTGTCTTGTCTCGGGGACTCCAGGTGCATGGTGTCCTCTCTCCACCCAGGCTGAGTTTCTTCCAAGGGGACAATTTATTAACACTTGTGTGTGTGCATCTTACCAATCACTCAGGTGCAATAAAACGGCATGTTACCCTGTCTGTCTGCCTGGCTTCTTTTTTTTTTTTTTTGTGAAGAAGTGAAAATGCCTGTCTCTGGGTGGGGCGGGGTGGAGAAAACCCATACCTCTGCCATACTTGCTCGTTTTCCTGCACATCAGGATGGTTTGTCCTCACTCTTTGTAAAGCATCTTTCAAGAACTGCTAGCTCTCCTGGCTTCCCAGGAGATCCTTCCCATGAGCTTCATGAGTGAGTCCAAGTCTGCTTTTCTGAAGTCCAGGGTCCTTACTCTGTGGCTCTCCCTCCTTCCTTTCCTTGGGATCCTGAACTCAATCTCGTGGTCACTCCTGCCCAAGTTGCTATGTCCACTACTGCACTCCCCACCAATTCATCCCTGATTGTGACAGCAGGTCAGGAAGAGCATGGCCCCTCGCTGGCTGCTCCAGCGCTCGCACCAGGAAGCTGTCCCCAGCGCTCTCCAAAACCTTCCTGGATCACCCGGGCACTGCTGTGTTGCCCTCCCGGCAGATGTCAGCGTGATTGAAGTTCCCCTTGACAGCCAGGGACTGTGCTGGGGAAACTTGTGCTAGCTGTTTGGAGAAAGCCTCATCCCCCACTTCCTCCTGGTCTGGTGGTCTGTAGCACCCCCACCATCACACCACACGTGTTCCTCTCCCCTCTGACGCTAACCCAGAGACTCTCAATCGGCCTCTCTCAGCTTCATACTGGAGCGCAGAGCAATCATATGGCTCTTTTACATAAAGTGCAACTCCCCCTCCTCTTCCCCCTGCCTGCCTTTCCTCAAGAGTTTGTAGCCATCAGTGATAGTACTCCAGTCATGCACGCTATCCAGCCAAGTCTCTTTTATTCCAAAATGTTAAATGCATCCAGGACTTGGACCCAGGACCTCTCCCACCCAAAGCATGAATCATACCCCTAGACCAGCGGTGCCCAAACCCAGGTTGTGACCCAAATGAGGGTTGCAGGGGGCAATGCTGGTGGTGCCGTGCAGAAAAAAGAAGCCGTGCCATGTGCCGCCCCCCCACCGCCCGTGCCCCCAAGCTGTCACAGCCGCCACTGCCACGCTCTGCTCCCAGCAGCGGGGTGCAGAAAAAAAAGGGTTGGGAATCACTGCCATAGACCAATGAGCCACACAAAGCTTGGGCTTGTTCCTGTAACTTCTCACAACCAAAGCAAGACTCAAACCCCTAGTCTACAGAGCCACTTTCACCTGAACATCCGTTTGCACCTAACCCCTGTTCTGAGGTCAGGCCATGCACAGCTCCCGCTACCTTATCTCAGCTATGTTTCAAAGTCTCACAAACAGCTTCTTTCTCATGGCACTGCAGGTCCTGCAGCTGCATGTGCATGGGAGAGGCCACATCTGCCAGCCTGGGTGCAGCCTCAGGGTCACTGTTGCCCACTGCCATGGCCCTGAGGATGCACTGGCTCCACCAAAGATGGACCCAGGACTGCATCATCGTTCAGAACTGGCTGGTGATGGCATTGGAGGACCGGCTAATGGACACACAGGCCTGGCAGGTGGAAGATGTTGCCTGCAAGGGCGTGCAGGACTGGCATGAGGAGGTGTGGGCCTGGGCAGACCGGGCAGTCTGAGTGCAGCTCCTGGCCCTGGAGTGCTAGTGGGGGGAAGCCCTGCAGGAGCACACTGCAGGCAACAGATAACCACTGGCTGCTGAATACTGTCCAGACCCTAGTGGTTGCATTCATGCTACCCACTGCCCACCCCCTTCTGTCATGGCCCTGCAACTGCTGAGGTCTCCATGGAAATGGGCCGGAGTGACACAGGCAGGGGCTGCTGGGAAATGGAGTTCACTACAGGCCGGATCCGACCCACAGACCAGACTTTGCCTGTGCCTGTTCTAGCCCCTAATGCTGGCCTGTTTCTGGGCTATTGACTCTGGTCCCTTTCGAAGGCACTAATGATGAAGGATGACTACTCGTGCCCTGTCACTGACAGCTAGGCCCACTACCAATGTCACTGATAGCTAGTAAAAATGGAAGGGCACTAGTGTATTCAAGGCCTGAATGTGTCAGACACTTCACAAAAGTCATATCAAATTACGCTGTGATCCAGAAAGCATGAACACTCAAAAGGGTGGGGACATGTATGGGCTGATGTAGAACAAAAAGGAGAAGAGAAATTAGTTAATGTTCATAACTGTTACAAGTAATTATTGGCCTGGCCACCACAATGGCCATGCACCACAGTGTGGCCCATGTGAACCCTGAAAGATGTGGACATGGGTGGATGCAGGAATTTGGAAAGAGGGGTGCGGGATATTACAGTTGTGTCCCCATCCACTACCAAGGGCAGACGTCAGCATGGTAGTGGAGGCAGGACTTCTGCTCTGCTCCAGGCAGGGGCAAGGAGAAGTGACAGCAATAGCGGTAGCCCAAGGTGCTGTTGCCCAAATGGCTAGTTTCGTGCCCCTGGAGGATAGACCAATTTCACCTCAAGGAGAGAGTCACACCCAGGGTGAGTCCATCATGAGTTTATTGATTGCGCAAGCAATGTCAACAGAGGAGCTGATGCTGAAAGCAGTGTTGACCCCCAAATTTCTCTCGGGGTTACACTTTTATAGCTTACATAAACAAAGGGCTATAACATGTCATACAACTATTGGCAGTACCACAATTTCCTTGTTGTTACGTCTTATCTTATGGGCCAGGCGTGTCCAATTTTCTTTCTCCTTAGGAACCATAAAGAATAGAAAACAATCCAGGAAGCAGCTTTTATTTGTTTTTAATCTAGGGAATTTGTTCTACCATATCTTGTCCTGAGAGTGATAATTTTTCAAATTGGACTCTCAGGCTTTGTCCCTGCTACAAACTTTGGGTCGTACAGATATGTGACTAAGTCCGGGTAGATTAGGAGATTTTATTTTTTTTTTGCCTTCCTTAACTATGCGTTCTGTGTAAATGAAGCCTTGTTTAAATGCTGCCCCAGATGCTGTGTGAAATGGTAGAATTTACAAAGAGATTTTCCAAAGCACTAAGAGGAGCCAAGCACTCAATTCTCATTGAATGGCACCTACCTTTTATTTCTGCCTTTTCAAACTTTTACCCTAGATCCATGGCTCTCAAACTTTCTTAGACTCAAGGTCCCCCTCATTAGACTCCAGGAACTCCTTGGAAAATGCCTGCTGTTAGTTTTCACTTATTTTTCAATGATGGAAAAAGTAAACAGCAATTTTTCTCTTGCAAAGAACTCAGAAGGACCACAACAGGTCAGGATTTTTTTTTAACTCTCTGGAATCTCATTTGAAATAGTTGGGTTTATCTTGTGAATCGTGTTTGCACACCTAACAGTGGCATCCCACAGCAGACCTCAAAAGATCTCAAAGCAGTCCAGGGTGATGAAACTCCTTTGTTGAGAATCACTGCCCTAGATACTCAGTGCTATTTTTTTTAAATACAGATGCATTTTCACACATATGTCAAGTTAGGGTCAGGCAGTGGATCTCCTTTGAGTGGAGTCTAGTCAAAACTGAGGCCTACAGACCTGGCCTTCCACTATGATTTCCATTTGACAAATCATGCCATGTGCATCTGTTCTGACTGTTCCTTCCCTCTTCCTCTGTTCAGTCTTGTGCATGTGTGTGGGATGTCTTGTGCATAAACAATGGAGGAATACATGATGTTCTTAATGCAAAAAGGTCACCTCAAGTAAGTCTGAACCCATTCCAATATAGATTCAAAGATAGTGATATCCTGGCATTCTGCATTGGACTGAAAACATTAGACTGTGATATGCTTCACTGGAGAAAACAAACAAACAAACGAAAAAACCAACCTCTTCTATAACTTCACTTAAGAAAAAGTTTTAAAATATTTCATTTTAAAAATATTATATTCTGCAGCCTTGTGCACCTCAAGACAGAGAAATCTTCTTGAACAGAAGTTCACAGACTGTTTGCACACTTGAATATAGAAAGTTTTCCAGCACATTACTTGCACTTGAAAGTGCTACTTAATTAAAGACTTGGGACAAGATTCCCCAAAGCCTGGGAACCATTAGGCATTTTTCTCAGCTTTGATTTTTAACCTGTCATGGTTTGACTGATGTCATGGCTCCAAGTTTGACTGTTCTTCTTAAAGATGTCAGTGTTTCAACCTGAGCACTCCTCTCTCTCCACTAGATAATTCACAGAAATACCTGCAGAGGCAGATAGGCAAGTCAGACTTACACTGTCCCTTTGTTTATTGTGGACAGTCTTTATTTAATACCCATCTCAGATTTTTGTTTAATATGTTGTCAGTGCTGCATTTTGCAACTGATAAAAACCGTTTTTTGGCATGCTGAAGGTATGAATCATTATTATATCATTTTATTTTTTGATCTTAAATGGAATTTGTGCCTGAAAGATTTTTAACTAATTTACTTCTGTAAAAAAATCCTGTTGCCTCACCGTAGAAGAATGCCAGCTTAACTAGAGCAATTGTGTTGTTTTATTTTTATTATTTTTTAAATGGAGGCAAAAAGGTCTACATGGATTGGTCATTTATTTACTATTGTAACCACTTTTGAGGCAGAATCTCTTTATTTCTTATAGATATTTCTGTACCAGTGGGATGGGAAGAAGAATGCGTTCTAGGAATATGTTAAAATATAGGATACTAGACCTGTAAGAATTCTTGACTTGAGAGATTGTTTTCAAACCAAGGACAATGGTTTTTGCAAGAGATGAAAATTCTCTCCTTTCTAGATGGCTCACAGAACACGATAACGCTGTACAAGGTATCGATTATTGTTTTCCACTGCTCCTATTTTATATGAGTGAACACCTTCATAAATAGGTTTTTTCTTTATTACCAACAGTACCAGTATTCTACATCAAATTTCCCATGTGATAATCACAGAGGAAGAGTCATATGAATGTTTCTTAATAAATATTTCAGCTACTATTTTTCAATAAAGTTACAAGTAAATTTAATTGATAATGCAACTTCTACCAGTTCTATACACAAAATCTTTGTGTTTTTTTGTTTTTGTTTTTTTGGGGTTTTTTACATTTTGGCTAAAATCTGTTGCAGTGTGACAATTGTTATATGAAGGTGATGGATAGAACACAGTTACTTGCACTTTTCAGTTTTGAATGAAAATATATTATCCCCATTACCATAGCTACATGCATTGATGTATTTCAGAGGAGATGGAGGAAATGGTTACATGTAAGGGGTAAAATCCTGGGTCTATTGAAATCAACTACAAAATTCCCTTTCAACTTGATAGGTCTAGGATTTCACCCAGGGCATTTTTAGGGCCCTTATAAATGTGCTATGTTATGCAAAGAGATATCTTCTATAATATTATATATTACAAATATATTGATAATCTATCTATCTATCTATCTATCTATCATATGCATTTTTAAAATTATACAAGGTGTTTACATGTCTAATGTCTTCAACACCAGTCCTATAGAAGGGCGTGTTGGTGTCAGGTACTCTATAACCCTGTGGCTCCCAGCCAGCTTGAAGTTTCTGCTTTATCAAAGGAGAAATGAAGCCCAGGTACAGACATTATGCATTTACCAGTGTAAGTGATATAAGTGATTGGAAACTGGTCTATACCTGAAACAAAACAGAAGTTCAGCACACATAGACTGGTTTGAAATGGTGGAGGCCAGTCTAAGATTTGCATCCCACACCAAAGGGCAAATGTGTGTTCTCCTCACTACCAATTGAAACTGCACTGCATACAGAAAGCCGTGTAACTTAGAGCGATCCTGCCTCAGGCTTTTTGAATGTCTGTACCTAGCCTTTGTTTCCACTCTGCAAGGGATCTGTCTTTCCCTTTGGAACATTATGGGCTAAATCCTAGCGCACTACCTGGCCCTACAAGGCCATGCAGCGGCAGAGTCTGGGATTCTAGTTGGCAGCTGGTATCAAGTGGGGTGCCCCAGGGGTTGGTCCTGGGGCCAGTTTTGTTCAATGTCTTCATCAATGACCTGGAAGATGGCACAGAGTGCACCCTCAGCAAGTCTGCAGATGGCACCAAGCTGGGGGGAATAGTAGATACACTAGAGCAGCGGTTCCCAGTCTGTGGTGTGGGTACTACCAGTGGTACACAGACAACCTGTCAGTATGGGTATGGGTTAACAGATACATTATAATTACTTGATATGACAAAAATTTGCTGGTGGTACTTAAGGTTGAACTGAAAAAATTGATGGTGGTACTTAAGGATGTACGGTTTTAAAATGCTGGTGTGCGATCTGTCAGAGTTTGGGAACTTCTGCGCTATAGGGTAGGGTTAGGATTCAGTGTGACCTAGACAAATTGGAGGATTGGGCCAAAATGAATCTCATGAGGTTCAAAAAGGACAAGTGCAAAGTCCTGCACTTAGGATAGAATAATCCCATGCACCGGTACAGGCTGGGGGCTGACTGGTGGGGCAGCACCTCTGCAGAAAAGGACCTGGGGGTTATAATGGACTATAAGCTGAATATGAGCCAGCAGCGTGACCTTGTTGCAAAGAAAGCTAACGGCTGGGCGTTGGTAGGTGTGTTGCCAGCAAGTCAAGGGAACTAATTATTCCCCTCTATTCAGAACTGGTGAGGCCACATCTGGAGTACTGTGTTCAGTTTTGG